GGATGGATCTAGAAAAAAATCATCCTGAGTGTGGTAACCCAGACTCAGAAAGACAAATATGGTATGTACTCACTCATAGGATTTACTAGATGTAAAACCAAGATGACTAGACTGCTACTCACAACTCCAGGGAGGCTACCTAAAAAAGAGGACCCTAAGAAAGACACAGAGATCATCCCATGACGGAGAAATGGATGAGATCTACATGAACAACCTGGATGTGAGTGGGAGTAATGAAGGGCAAGGGAAAGAGAGCCTGTGGGAGCAGGAGATTCCTGCTGGATCAAGAACAGAGAGGGAGAACAAGGAATAGGAGACCATGGTAAATGAAGAACACGTGAGAAAAGGAAGAAACAAAGAGCTAAAGAGGCCCACAGAAATCCACAAAGGTACCCCCACAAAAGACTGCTGGCAATGGTCGAGAGGCAGCAGGGACTGACCTACTCTGGTGATGGGATGGCCAAACACCCTAATAGTTGGGCCAGAAACCCCATCCAAGGACTGAGGAATTTGGATGCAGACATCCACGGCTAGGCCTGGGGTGGAGCACTGGGAGTCTAATTAGTGAGAAAGAGGAGGGTTTATATGAGCGAGAATTGTTGAAACCAAGGTTGGATAAAGCACAGGGACAAGTAACCAAACGAATGGAAACACATGAACTATGAACAAAAGGCTGAGGGGCCCCCAACTGGATCAGGCCCTCTGAGTAGGTGAGACAGTTGATTGGCTTGATCTGTTTGGGAGGCATCTAGGCAGTGGTACCAGGTCCCGGGCTCGTTGCATGAGTTAGCTGTTTGAAACCTGGGACTTATGCAGGGACGCTTGGCTCAATCTGGGAGGAGGGGACTGGACCTGCCTGGACTGAGTCTATCAGGTCGATCTCAGTCCTCGGGGGAGGCCTTGCTCTGGAAGAGGTGGGAATAGGGGGTGGCCTGGGGGGAAGGGGAGGGGGCAGGAGAGGGGAGAACAAGGGAATCTGGGGCTATTATGTAGAACTGAATAGTATTGTAAAATAAAAAAATATAAAATAAATAAATTTTAAAAAAAAGAGTTGTTCTTACAAAGGACCCATGTTCAGTTCCCAACACACACCTCAGGTTACTCACATCCATCTATATCTCCAGCTCCAGGAAATCTGATACCTTATTCTGGCTTCCTCCTACATCCATGACATAGACTCACACAGACATATCTACACACATAAATGCATATTAAATTTTAAAACACTCATAATTTTCAGGAAAGGACTTAAGCATCCTGATTTGAGAACTGTCCTCTTCTACAAGCAGCTTTGTGCCCCTCACTGGCTGATCATCCCTGACACACATCCCTGTGGCTTCTGGAATGAATCCCAGAACCATAGCTTTACCTTCTCTCCTCTCAGTATTTGTCCTTCACCTGCCACCTAGTATTTCTTCCATCCCTGCACCTCAGCTAGCATTAGTCTGACTCTCTGTTTTGTACACAGATGTTTTTTTTCTTTTTAAAATTAATGTGTGAGTGTGTGTGTGTGTGAGAGAGAGAGAGATGGGGGGCTAAGATGGGAAAGAACTAGATGGATGAGAACTTAGATGGGGAAGAACTAAGATGAGAGAATTAAGATAGAACTTACAGGGGACAGCCGATAAATGTAGAGAGAAATCAGGCACGAAAGGAGCTAGGCATGAGAGCAGAATAGAAGCTGTGTAGAGAAAGAACTATCTCAGAAGAATCAAGAGTATGGACTAAAGAGTTTCATCTATGTAGATTCATTTCATATTGTCTAATTAATTAGATTGTCAGCTGGCTGTAGATTCTTCCCAGAACCTGGGAGAGGACTACTGAGGGGCGGGACCCCAATAGTCCCCATCATAGATAGATAGAGGGGGGGGCGCAAAACGACCAATATATATAAATTTATATGTGTGTGTGTATAAAATTATCAAATAATATTTTTAAAAGGAAAGTAATTAAGGACTTGGGAGATGGCTTCATGATTAAAGCCCTGGTCATAAACACTTGAAGATCAGACTTCAATCCCCAGAACCCATGTAAATGTCGGGTGGATGTGGGAGCCAATCTCTACTTACATCCTCATAAAGACACAAGTAAGGAGATTCCCAGACCAAAGTGGCTAGCAAGACTAGCCACATCAAGAAGTTCTGGGTTTGAGTGAAAAACCCTGCCCCAAAGCAAGGAAGAAGAGGATTCAAAGGTGATTGATTCCTCATCATCCTCAGACCTTTCCACATGTATGTGCACCTGAGTGTGCACCCCTCCTTACCCACACTCATGTGGACCATATATGAAAAAAAGGAAAAATGTGGTAATCATGCCAAGATCAAGGCCACTGAATTGTTCACTTAAATGAAGTAATTATCCTCAAGTCACTTCTTAAAACTATGAACTGAAGAGATATTATCATATATGGCCTCCATTGTGGAAATGATACTGGTGGCTGGGTTACAGGGAACAATTCATGGAACAGATGGGAGCAAGTGGCATAAGCCCAGCGGCCTAGACTCAAATCCCAGTCTAGTACCTACAGCCAGGAGCGTTTACAGAGAAGTCGGGGTTTTGTGGTAATATATCGTGTAACCTTATAAACTTGATCAGAGGACAGAGGACACTAGATTAGATGTAGAGGTCAGGCAGTGGTGGCACACTGGCACACACCTTTAATTTTATCACTCAGGAGGCAAAGATCTATCTGGATCTCTGTGAGTTCAAGGTTGCACTGGACTACATGAGATTGATCCAGTCTAGGAGAGAAACAGAGTGAGGAGTGGTGGCACACACCTTTAATACCAGCATTTAGGATCTCATGCATTTGCTTGGGAAGCACACATGCCTTTAATCCCAGGAATTAATATAGCAGGGCAGAGAAAGGTATATAAGGCATGAGGAAACAGAAAATCATTCTCTTTAGACTGAGGATTTCTTAGAGGTAAGAACTAGTGGCTGCTGGCTGTTCTGCTTCTCTGATCTTTCAGATTTCACTCTGGTATATGGCTTTGGGTTTTTTATTAAAAGATCATCATAGATTCAAACAACAGGTTTAGGGGGTCTTATTAGTTTTTTTCTCTGTATACTGGAAAGATGAGATGTCTCCTCAGGTAAAGGTGTTTGCCTTTAAGCCTGGAAACCTGATATTGTCTTGCAGTACCTGCATGGTATAAGAAAGAAACTGAGTCTCAAAAGTTGTTTCTGACCTCCACTTGGGCACCATGGCTCCAATGTTGAGTACACACACACACACACACACACACACACACACACACACACACACACACACACACAC